ATAACATATAAAATATAAAGTTTTTTTTCTTAAGAAATGTTTGATAACTATCCAGACATTATAAAGATTTTGCATGTGAAATTTCAAAATTTTCTGATGCATAAAAGTGTATTTAATCTTAAAATTAAAATTACTTTGCATGATGGATAGGCAAGATGTGAAAAGAAAAAAAAAGGCATGAGAGAAACATTGCTTTACAAACCTTAAGACTTAATAAAAAAAATAGATATTATGCATATAAAAGCATTGTAATGTTTACTGATAAATTGCTCAATTTTGTTAACATTTGCTTACTAATTTAAAAGTTATAGCATAAAAACTATAACAAGCATAAAATGGTTACAAGGTCGGTCCCATGGACCAGTGTGGATTGAAATAGTTAACTTTTATTGTTTTATTGCCCTCTGAACCTTGTTTAATTACTATTTGTGACATTATAAGTTGTAAATCATTGGGTGAACATGAAGCACATGTCAAGCTATCAAATTACATTATGCACAAGCAACTCATGAGTGTATCTTGTGAAAAATTTTATTATATTATTATTTACTTCACCTAATCTAACCTTAACTAAAATAAAACATTTTACATTTTAATTAGTTTTATAATAATAAGTATAGAGCACGCATGAAAAACAAGGAAAAAAGTACATACCTAGGTCTTTGTTTTTTGTTTTTTTTTTGCTATCAACTGTCGACACTTAACCCTGCTTTTTTTCTACTAATGGTAGTACTGCGCTAAATAATTTTTTGTTTAATTAAATAAGGCATCAAGGAACACAGAATGATAATCTGCAAAAAGCAGACATGTCCCATAACTATCACTAGCTTTCTAATTCTGTGAAAAGAGCTGTTAGAAATTCAACTAAGCTCAAAGTATTTCTCATGGAAGTAAAGGTTGAAGTGAAAGAGAAACTAACAATTCTCTATACAAAAAAAACATCATACATCATGGTTGTCTATTTCATGGCACTGTAACAAACTAAGATTGAAGGTTATAAAAATTATGGCTTGCCTGAGCTATGATGATATTATAAGTAATTTACGTTACATTTCATACTTCTTGGAAGGGTGGTAAATAAATTAGAGAAGAGGGGATGCCTAGAGAGCAAATGTCACAATTCTCACACATGAGGAAATTCTACATTTTTTTAATTGTTATTATTGCCATATAAAAGTATATAAAACATATGAGAAAGAATAAACTAGTTTTATTTAAGAAAGGACTTGTATCGCTGAAGCTTCTTGGGAAGAATTTCTACGGGAAATTAACAAACGAACAGAGACGTAACAAATTGGTGTCAGAAGTTGGGTAAAAAAGAAGAAGATGGAAACGAGAAGTGGCAAATTAAATACAACTTATCAGATTTGATGGCAGCAATACAAGAACAGCAAAAACAAACAAGAAGAACGAGAAGATAAACAAGAAAGATACAACAGCAGTGGCAGCTCGAACAGCAAAATAAACAAGAAAAAAGATTACAGTAGTTGTTGGAGGAAAAAGAAAAGAAACAAGAAGAGAGGCTACAGCAGTGGTTGGAGAAGAAAGAAAAGAACAAGAAGAGAGACTACAGCAGTGGCAACTGGAACAAGAAAGGAAACAGGAAGAAAGTTGCGGGAAAGTCAGCAGCAAGTACAGGAAAGTCAACAACAGTGGCAAGAAGTACAAATGGAAAACATTAGTAAATTTCAAAATAAATTAGATACATTAAAGAATAATTTACTGTCTTTTACACAAGGAGGATATATTAGCCATTGACCTAATCAGCCTCAGACAACAGGAAACCCCTTCCAGACCCAGCAGCTAAACCCTAATGCAGACATCTTCAGTCCTGTTAGAAGTCACATCCCAGATATGAATGTCAGCAATAGGGGTGATCTAGTACGAAGGAAGCCACAAGAATTCGATGGGAAGGCATCATAGGAAGCATATAGAGCACAATTTGAGCTCCTGGCAGAGATGAATGGATGGACAGAGGAATAGAAAGCAGTATATCTGGCAATGAGCCTGAAGGGACAACCACTGGAAATACTTAGACAGTTGTCATCAGATGACAGGCACAACTATAAAGCAATGGTAGCTGCTCTTGAGCTCAGGTATGGAATCAGTCTGAAGTCTACAGGGCTAGGTTTAGGACGAGAGTCCGTGTTAAAGGGGAGAGCCTGCAAGAACTGGCACAGGACTTGGAAAGTATGGCACA